GTGGACCTGTGGCGGCGGCACCTTGGCGGTGGGGAGGCGAGGTCGAGGCGGCTTCCGGGCGCCGCACGACGCACAGCCCACCCGCAGCGCCCGCCGGAGCCGCTGCCACCATGACTTCCGCTCCCCCGGGTAGTTGTTGTATGTGATGTTGTTGTCGTCCTTGGTGCGGCGGAGGGAGGGGAGCACTTTGGCTGGGGTGGGGGAGCTTCTGGGTGGGGGCTTGGGCGTGGCCTTGGGCGGCTGCTGTCGGCCCGCTGCATACAGAGCACACATAGCCAATCAACACATGCATACAGCGATGAATAAGCACATGCATTGTCAGTGAGTGTCACTCTCCTTACCTTCCTCCTCGTCGTCGTCGGGCCAGGGCTCGATGCTGCTGGTGAGCGCTGTAACGAACAGGCAGAAACAAGGAAGGCGGCTTTGTGCGTGCCAATCATCCAATTCTGTATCTCTCCTCGTGTGTACAGATAAGTGTCCGTTTCTCTCACCCCGCTCAGCCCACTCCTCCGCGCTCTCGGGGCCGTCCTCCATCGACAGGCGGCAGCTGTCCTCGATGCCTGTAGCGACGAAGAAAGACGGAACCATCCATTTAGCAAGTCTGTCTCTCTCTGCCTTCTTTCCCTCCTGACCTCGCTCGCCTAGCTCGGACAGGGGGTCGCCCTTGGCATGAGCATCCACCCCCGAGGTCTCTCCCCATGAGACCTCGGGGATGCTCTCCAGGCTCCCCGTCTGCTGCAGCAGGAGGCTCGATGACCGGCCGTGGGGGGCTGCCGTTGAAGCAACGGAGGGGCGCCGGTCGTTGGCGGCCGTGGCTGCCTTCCCCCCCTCCCCCACCCCCTTCCCTTCCTCCCCCTCCCCCTCTCCAGCACCAGCACGAGTCGCGATGGGCAACAGCGCCCTAGCTGCCTTGGTGTCGGCCATCATTCTGACGAAACACACACACGGAGGAGATGACTGGATAGATGGAGGGATCCACTGTCGTGGCGTCGGATGGACTGGTGGCTCACCTCTTTCGCAGTCTCCTCGCCCCCAGCGCCCCCACGAGCTCGCAGCAATGACTGAGTCATGAATTGCTGCCAGTGATCACGTTTGTTTTTTCATTGCCGCCGTCCTGTCCCTCTCGATGTTGTCTTTCACCTCCCTCACAGACCGGTATACATCCCTATAGGTCAGCACGAACACAACACCGCTCACACATGCAGCCATCATCGCCTCACGCAAGGCCACACCCCCACACCCCCATGGTGGTGCCAGATGCGCCACCGTCTGCCGCGTCACGGCTGAGGAGCAGTGCCGCCCTCATTCCCGCCTCCATGCCCAACGCAATGGCCGCCTCACACACGAGCCTGGCCAGCACTACAATACCCCACACTTTGACTGTCTTGGGCAACACGAGACCCCTGACAGCCCCACCCATCCCTCGCCTCGCCGACAGCACGCCGCTGTGGTGCATCATGGCCACATAGAAGAGAGCCAGCAAGATGCGCATGGCCGTTGGCCCATGTGGCCGATAGCACCTGTCTCTGCCTATGTGTTGACTATTGACTGTATATGTCGATCGTTTGTCTTGTGTTTCCACACACAGACAGGCTCAGAAGAGACACCGACAACAATAT